TCCAGCTTGCATGGGGGTAGGAAGAAGAAAATAAGGCTCAGCCCCACGCCCCCCCCGCCTCCCCCTGGCGCACACTGTCAGGGACCTCCTGGCCTGACAAATAGCTCCCAACAGTAACCCACCTACTCATCCTCCCTGACACCCAATCTCAGCACCCTGATGCCCCCCAACTGAAATCCCACAACTACCTGTCCCCATACTTTCCCCTTCTACTCTCCAGAACTCCAGGCCTTCCTCTACTCCTGCAAATATTCCTTGACAGAAGTACTCACACTCATCATTTATTCTCTTTGCAAAAAGCAGCATTCATACTTCATGGATGTTCAGATTCAGGTTTCTAAACCGTAAGCCCCTTGGACTGAAACAGACTGTAATCAAGTGCCTACTTTCCTCTCCCCCACTCCCACTTCTTCCCAGCATTTATTTCAAACAGATGCTGGTTACTTGCTCAGGTTCAACAAGCACAGCACGTCCCCTAGACTGAGCCACTCGAGTCACGAGAATGCCACCTCGTAATTCAGCTACGTTCCAGGCACCCTGCTGTCACACCAGTATAAACTGGTTATACTCCAAGTTATTTTTGCACCAAATGGTAGTGGTCTAGACGGCTTGTCACCCAAAAGTATTAGTACAGTAACTGTGCACCTAAGACCATGTGGCATAATCCCAGAACAGCCCGATATCCATGCACACAGAAAAAGAGATACTGGGAGAATATTTCTACATTTGAAAAGAGGGGAGAAGGGAGTTACGTCTTGGTAAATGACCTCAAAAATGGATCATTAACCTTAAGCTTATCCTTATAAAACACAGCAACCTGGGCAAACGTGCAAGGTTTAGTGTTCAGAAAATCCCAGGCATAAGAAAGTAAACGGTTCTCAAGCTTAGGGTCTCCAGTCACATCAACCACGTAACTACCTGAACTTACTTAGGACCACATCCACTCCCCCTGCTTCACTCCTGCATCCTGATCAACGTCGACACACTGCTGCAAGACCAGCACAGAATTCTGACATTCATTTTCTTTTTCCAAGTCCATTACCACCACACTGGGGTGCTTGAGCAGCTTCACAAATTCAATGCTTTGTGTTTTACTTTCCTGCTCTACCCCATAAGGCAGTCACTATACATAACACTTGTGTTATTTAAGACAATAAGCTTACCACCAACTTCAAGACTTCAGTGAGATCCACATTTCACATGTGTGTCCAGTTTATGTTTGATGGAAAACATCAAGAGTGTTTTTAGGATGATTGTTAAAGACAGACAGAAAACAAAAACAGCTCACATGTGCACAACTCTGGTGAAAAAGGGACAAATCAGCATCCATTTTTTTTCCCAAATTAAACTCTTACAAAATGCTCAATCCACTCTAAAAGCAACTACTTGACTCATTCTCTCCGATACAACAGAGTGAGGGGGAAAGGAACTTACCTATACAAAATTTTTCAGGTTTTGACCATGATGAACCTGCACGACAAGTTTGAGCGGCCTCAAAGGAAGGGTCTCTCCTGTATCCTGGGCGACAAACGTATTGCACAGAGCTCCCAACAGAAAAGGTGGTCTTATCTTTAAACGCATCCGCTAGCTCTGCATAGGGTAACCTGTCAGGGGGGCCGCAATCACCTATCAAAGAAAAGAACAGTAACTTTAGCGGGAAGCAAGGAAACAAATGACATCTTGACTAGTATGGAGGATGGAAATGTAAACTGGTCCTCAGAGCTTCAGTGGGATCTGGGCATCTAACGCCCTTCAGTTCTTTGGAGAATCATGGCCTGAAATCTTAAGCAAAGCACACAAAGGGGGAATAGCAATACCTAAAGAAGCAATGGACAATAGGGTTGCATCGAAATACTGATTGTATATCAGATCGGCACCGATAAAAGCAAACTTAATGTTAGCAACTTAACGATCTCCCCCCAACCCCACATCTCTTCCCCCCTCCCTCCATCCCTTCCCCCACAGACTTACCTGCTGGGGAGGAGGATGTGCATTCAGCCCCCCTCCCCCAAATCCTGCTTCCGGCCCCTGGGGCCACCTTCACCCCCTTGGCTGGGCAGCCCCTGCCCCACTCCCTGCCTTCCTGTAGGGGGACTTGCTCTGCACCCCCATTACCCTTCCCTCCCCCATGCCCCTTGCCCCCACAGACTTACAAGCCGGATGCCGCTCTCCAGAGTGTCCGGGCACGTGCACGGTGGCTGCATGCATGAACGCTGTATTTATCAGTGACATTATCAGCTACACTAGCCAAAAAAAGCTGATCGCTGATAACATTAATTTTCCTTTTATCAGTGCTGATCTGATACACGAGCAGTAAACATCTGTTCTTTACAAGGGGATCAAGATGAAACGGAGTAGACGACATTAGCTGGTTTAGCAACAGTTTAAAGCAGAGGTTCTCAACCGTCTTTAGGCTCAACGTACCCGCCTTAGACTCGCGGCATCCCTGGGCAGCCTGGAGCCTCCCCCTGGAAGACGCCTGCTCTTAGTTTTCCCTTGTTTTTTGACCACAAAACAACAGAGCAGTTTGTGTGTGGCAAAGAACTCAGGAAGACCACGACAGGCAGAAAGCTTTAGACACTCCAGATTCCTATGGGAAATCCCTAGGTTTCCCTTGTGAAGCGTGTCCACGCACCTAACAGTGCCAACGTTGCGTGGTACCTTGACACCAACTCATTTAAGGCCCCCCAGGGTGCTGGAGCATCCCTGGGTTAAAAGGATGGCAAGGGACTGGTTTCCCCACTGCCCAGGAAAGGAAGCAGCAGAGAGTTGGACAGGCTTGAAGAGAAACAGCCTTCCTTCAGTCAGCACCTCCGAGGTTATCGATGCTGGTCGGTGCTGTGGCATGATGTGCTACACGTTACGGACACCACGCACTTCACTGGTGAGTCAGGAGACACATTTAAGCTGGCTATGCTATCACACGATAAAAAAAGCTACTCTCCAGGGATTCAAACAGCCAGCCAGCCTGCTAGACAAGTGCTTAGAAGCGGTGTACCAACTCTGGCGCTGGTCCCCAGGCGGGTGTACACACGCCCAGCGGGCAAAGAGCCGACTCACAGCCCTGACGCACGTTACATTCATGGCGCCATTCAGTA